TCATTTCAGAAATATAGACAGATACTGAAAGGCCGAAACGTTGTAATAAATATGGCGATAAAGATGAGGACAATAGTTTGAATAATGTAAATAATGTACATAATACCTCATCTCAGAAATATAGACAGATACTGAAAGGCCGAAACGTTGTAATAAATATGGCGATAAAGATGAGGACAATAGTCCAATAATGTAAATAATGTACATAATACCTCATCTCAGAAATATTGACAGATACTGAAGGGCCGAAACGTTGTAATAAATATGGCGATAAAGATGAGGACAATAGTCTGAATAATGTAAATAAAAAATGTTATCGTCCTAATTTTCCTCATCTTATTCTATCATCAGGTTTCATGTCTCCCTACCACAGTTTCTCCATATCAGTTCTTTCCTCATGACTTGTTATAAAATGATTCCGAACGGTTCATATAAAATCATGAATGAATTATTTTTCAGAGATAAAACAGTCTGGTAATCGAAAGTTACCTAATTATTGTGATATTCAAAGGAAGTGGCGTTTTTTCTTTAGTCTTTGTTCTATTCATGTAAATTATAGTGATTTTCTAAGTGTAGCTCAGATGTGGCACAAGGCCGAAAATATGAGGCACCCAGTAAGGATCGAACTCACTGATGAGTCTTAATCGTCCTAGTGAAACAAGCTTGCTAACCATTACACGACCTCGAGGTGCCCAAATTTTTTAAGCGTAGCTTAGATGTGGCACAAGCACCCAGTGAGGATCGAACTCACTTTTCAGTCGTAACTGATCTAGCGAGACAAGCATGCTAACCCTTACAATGATTTTCCAAGCGTAGCTTGGATGTGGCACAAGGTCGAAAGCAAGGGGCACTCAGTGAGGATCGAACTCACTACTCATTTGTAATCGTTTTAGCGAGACAACCTTGCTAGCAATTACACCACCTTGAGGTGTCCCTTTTGATTTTCCAAGTGTAGCTTAGATGTGGCACAAGGCCGAAAGTATGGGGCACCCAGTGAAGATCGAACTCACTAATCAGACGCAATTGTTCTAACGACACAAGCTTGTCAACCATTACACCGCCTCGGGGTGCACCATTCATGCAAATTATAACAAGTTCAAATATTTTCATTTTTCATCAAGCATTTGAACACTGATGTGAGCTTTGTCCCGTAAAGAAGAATTAACAGTGATTTGAGCTCATAGCGCTAAAACAGTTCAATGGCTCAAAAGGAAGCCATTGAAACTGGTATTAACCTTATTGGTCACCCAATAGCAGACGCTTCCTCAGGCGCATTTGCAGAGTCCACCCGTGGTTTATACTGCAACTATGCTTAGTCAAAAAGTTAGTTACAGTTTCTGGGAAACAATATGAACAAGGCTATACCAGCCATTTGAACAAGGTCAGCGATGACTTGTGACTTCGTGTTAGCACAGCTATCCGTCTACCTAATTTCACTCACAAGGCTTTTCAGGCAAAAGTGTCGCACGCTGGGATCGACCATTCCGATAACATCTCCTGAAGTCTCCAAATCGACCATGTTGAGATTCGAACCCGGATCACGTGGTCAGAATGCGAACGTTCTAAGCACTCGGCCACGGTACTTTTAACAAGGACAAACTATTTATGTCACCCGTTCATTCATCACTTTTGTCGAGTTACCTTCTCCTAATTTTCGAAACCGCTACTAGGGGACGCTTTCCGTCACTATAAATAATCCGCGATAATTATTCGCGGGCTATTACTTTTTACGTCAACAGGTAAATTTCTCGCGGAAGAACGCGATTATAACGATTTTTTTTTTTTGGATATGTATGAACAACACACACACATACGTATACGCCTTTCACTTCTTTTTTTTATATTTAAAGCACCTCCCCACGAGGTTCAATTGTGGCAAAAGGCCGAGTTTATCGTGGGTTCTCCGAGACCATCGGCTCGGCCAATATTCCTTTCGAACCCGTATAAACGGGTTCAGAGTTGGTCTACCTCCCCGAAAGAGACTATGCCCTTCGGCATAGCCTCGTCCGGGTACCTCTCTGCTCGAAGGCAGAGAGTTCGACCATCACAGCTGAAAAGATTTCAGTTGGTCTCTTTCACTTCATTTTTTTCTAGGACTTTCTCCTACACCAAACTACGCATGCGCAAACAATTCACTACCTTAAATGTTTTCTCTATTCATGTTCATTGTTCAGCAAAACACCACAATATTCTATTGTATATGTAACCCTTCAGTGTTAATACATTGTCATTTGTTTGTACATATATATATATATATATATATATATATATATATATATATTGGTCAAGGTTGTTTATTATAATTTTTTTAGGTGGACTCATACTCCGAGTCTATCATGTTGCTTGTTGGCATTTCAGGAGACACACGTGTTTATCTCTCAACGCATACATCGACTCGCAACTATTTTCACTCTCTCCAATTTTTGCCTCTCATTTTTTCTGTTTTCCGCAGAGACGTCAACATGTAAGAAGAACGCATTCCCTTTTTGGGACACGCATGAACAATACACACACACACACACACACACACACACATGTTTCAATTTATTTTTTCTAGGACTCTCTCCTATAACAAACTACATATACGCAAATAATTCACTAGCTTAAATATTTTCTCCATTAATGTTCATTGTTTAATAACACAACAATATTCTATTATATATATAACCCTTTTTGTTAATACATTAATAACATACACACACACACACATATATATATACACACAAAAATATAAATATATATATATATATATATATATATATATATATATATATATAAATTGGTCCGTGTTGTTTATTATAAATTTTTAAAGTGCCCTCATACTCCGAGTCTACTTACTTGGTTGTGTAAATTCGTCTTTTGGGGTAATTTCACATTTTCTTATCATTTCTCAGTTGCGTCTCTGTCCTTGGACAGACTGCTCTCAGGGCTTCTCTGTCTGAGGACAGAGAGGCAACTGAGAAAATTATACTGAAGAGGTGCCCAGTCCTGGGGAACAGCTGCCTGAGGCCATAACTATTGCACAAGAGGGAGGGGTCGGTGCTCTTATCCAAGGCCAGCGCAACCGACGGTTGCGGGGCTCAAGGGCTCATTTTGTTCTTGTCCCGGGCGTAAAAAGAAAGGTCCCCACTAAAATCCGACCTTGTCACATCTCTCATTCTCGTGGGGAAGGAGTAAATACCACTGTGTTGGTTGTAGGCATTTCAAAGACACACGTGTTTATTCTCTCAACGCATGCATCGGCTCGCAACACTTGCATATCTGTTACTCTATAGTAAAATACAGACACAATAGATTAATATAACTAATGGTTAAGCATAGATTTGTCTGGCACAAGACCCAATGGTGGTAGGGATAGTGGGATAAAATGTCTTCCAAGTGAAAAGTACCTAATCAAATCAATATCCTGACAACGTCGCAACTATCTCAGTTAATAAACACGGTCATGGAAGCTAAGTATATTTAATGGTATTTGTGTTAGTTTGGAAGCGTATATAAATATGGAGCTATAAAACTTACTATTGGAATTTTTTAAATTACAAAAAGAAGTTTTATATTGTGCAGAATACACGAGGGACGCAATGCTTTCACTTTTCGAGAGATTTCTTTGACACTGTTTCGAAATTCCCCAAAGTATCATTTTACATCTAACACATTTTTGGTCTGAAATATATTATTTCCTCTTTACAAAATTATATATATATATATATATATATATATATATATATATATATATATAAAGAAATATAGTCTTAAGATGTGCTATTTTATGGGATAAAGTGCTCAATATCAGAGATAGAAACGTTTGAAAAATAAAAGTGAACATAGAAATAAAATTTACAGGCTGTTTCATGCTAGATGCAATCGTCAGGCCAATCACGGCTTGACGATTGCATCTAGTATGAAACAGACTGTCGCTTCTAAGTAAAAAATATCTGCTTATATATATATATATATATATATATATATATATATATATATATAATATTTTATTTAAAATATGATTTGCGATGGAATCATATTTTTAAATAAATCATTATATTTAGGCTCTACTTTTGTATCGAGCACTTTTTTAAAAAATAATAAAAAATACTATAGTTCTTTCCTATTTTCTATATATTTTCATATATATATATATATATATATATATATATATATATATATGTGTGTGTGTATTCGACGTATGAAGATCAAGCAGATCAGTTCCAAGAAAACCGACAGCCCGACAACAGCACATGAGATTTGATTATAGTGGTGAAGGTTTCGTTCAGGATCATCCACACTTTTTGAAGGGGTTGAATACAGAGACCTGGTGCACTACGCACACAAGGTCCCCAAATATATATATATGTGTGTGAAAAAAATGTATATATATATATATATATATATATATATATATATATATTAAATTTATATAATATATGCGCATGTAATTATTAGAAAGCGCTCTGATTTTTTACATGTATACATTCACGAGACATTCACGAGAAATTTTCGACACATTCCAATCTTTGAATTTCAACATACAAATGCGTATGTATAGACACAACACCACCCATATACATACATGTCAAATCCGAAACTGTCCACATATGTTTATATATGTATGAGTCGCGACGGACAAGCAAGTGTGTATGTGTGTCTGCGTACCTCATCGGGTGTACGGACATGCATCTATGTTTGCGTTAGCACGATGACATCACGACGACGATTCCCCCCACTTCCATAATAACACCAATACACGCAATCTACATAAACCCATATTTTTTAAAAATTATTCAGTTTGACGATCGCAAAAGCGTGAAACCCAGGGTTACAAACTCACATCAATCCAACCATATATATATATATATATTTATTATTGTGGATATATATTGGAGTATCCGTGGGAGCCAGTGGTAGAGCGTTTGCAAACTTGTCTAGCAAGATGTCATTACTGAGGTCTGTCATCATGGCCACCCTCTTATGGTGGTTCTGGGTCAGACTAAATTTTATCGTAGATCCATGTGAACAGGTCGATATCTATTCTCTTTGTGTTCGCTTCAAATATTTCTCTCTCACACACTTTTCAAGCCAAATGTTTGGGTTTTTTTTTTCGGTGGTGGGGGGCTATAATTTCGTTTTTCTTCCTCCTCCATTTGATGATTTTTTCTTTCAATTTATTTTCTCTTTCACTGACTCTTTTTTTTCTCTCAATTTCTTTTCTCTCTCCATCTATTGTTTTCTATATTTCCTTCCCTTTCTCTCCTTGCTTTTCCTCCTCTCCTCCATTTCATCTTACTCTTTCTCTTCTTTCGCACACTGTCTTTTGACGTTTTCCTTCCTTTTCTTCGCTATCTTCATTCTCTCTTTCACCTCTCTCTCTCTCTCTCTCTCTCTCTCTCTCTCTTATTCAATATTTATCTTTAGTTTTGCCTTAGTTTTTCTTTTTCCTCTCTCAATTTTATTGGCTTCTAACTTACAGCCATTATTTTTCAAGCTCTGCAACGATTCACTTTGACTTTTGCTCCGTTCCAAAATACACGCCACCTCTGAAGACTTTCTCCCAAATCATTTTCCAATACGACGTGTCTGGAATTCTAATATTGACACTCCAAAAACTAGGCAATGTTTCTTTCTTGCCATTTTGATAAAGAAAGAGTAAGTAAAGTTATTAAAAGTGAAAAAAACAAAACAGTTTTACTTTAATATTTCTTTATAAATATTAATGTTTAAAGCAAAACAAAAACATCTTTTTTATGTGCCGTGTTCCTTCCAGATGTAGGCGATCATGGCTCTCCAATTCTCCCTATCCCTTGTAGCTCTCAATAAGTTTTGTCCCTCTGCCAACTCACCAGACCACATTCTGTCATCCACTTGCTTAAGCCCGCTAGGCATGTCATGCGTTGCTTTCTCTTGTCTCTCTTTCTCTCTATTCGACCTGTGAGTATCAGATTCTCCAGGCCCTCTTTTCTCAATACGTGTCCTAGAAATTTCAGTTGCCCTATCTTGACGTTAAGTATAAGCTTGCTCCTTGTCTGCATCCTCTCCAAAACCTTCATCGTTGCTCCCATGTTCGCTCCATGATATCCTTAGCATCCTTCTGTAGAACCATACCTCCGTTGGCTCGAGTCACTTCTTCATCTTTGAGGAGACTGTCCAACATTCGCTGCCGTAAAAGAGGACAGATGTCACGTAGCAGCTCAGTACTCTTTTCTTTGTTACCAATGAAATCCTCCTGTCTCGCAATACCCTGCTCAGCTTTTGAAATACGTCCTCGGAGATCAGCGTCGCCCTTACCGTCCTCCGTCAAAATAATTCCCAGATATTTAAACTTCTGCACCTGCTTGATTTTAGTGTCTCCGACCTGCAAATCGCATTTCGGGCTCATCCTTTTATGATGACCATGCATTCTGTCTTCTTGTAGTTTATGCTTAGTCCCTTTTTTCTCAGAAAAATGACTCAGACAGGTCCAGATAAATGACTCATGACTAGACAGAACTCAGACAGGTCCAGATAAATGACTCGGAATTACAAGAATGTGATTTTCAATCTCCTTGTCAGCTTTTTCCTTTCAGTTTACTTAAATTTCGTGGTTTAGGGTGAATGATCAAACTTTAAATTGCCCCACATGTTTGGAACTAACACCTGGTTCATACGCGTTTCGTTATTTTGTCAAAGTCATTTAATTTGCCTGCACTTTTATGCTTTACGTAAGTAAGCTGTTTCAGGAAACAAAAGTAGTTTTAAGAGTAGAAATGGAATCCGTTACGAGATGTTTTAGAAAACTGAAATTATTAAATTCTTGTTTTGGCAAGCGTCAAGGGAGTATAGCAGTTTTGTCTCTTGCAATGAAAGAATATTAAATTTGGAATTTCAGTTGGGTTTGCCAAGTTAGAATGAACAGGCGCCATTCTAGGCTTAGTTGATAGACGAATGTTATCTTGATCTTCTTGCTTTCCCACTGAACATCAGTTTGCATTTGCTCTTCTCTCTATTGACTTTGTTCAATAGAAAAGATCATTACAGGAAAACGACATGTCAAATATGATTACAGTCACAAAGGGAAATCCGACACACAAAATATATGGGTGGTCGTAAACGTTTAGCCACCACAAATATATCTGTACACTAGAAAAAAGACATGTCTAACAGGATTGGCACTAAATTCAATATAAACACACACACACACACACACACACACATATATATATATATGTATACATTTGTGATTCAACTTACGAACTCGCCCATTAAAAAATACACCATTCTTTACCTGAATTTTTCAGATATAGTTATTGTAAAAATATTTTAAATATCATAGTCACCACTTCTGATTATCTCCCAGCTATTGGTGTAGTATCAACACACCCTTGAGGCTTGTTCAATGGACGGAGCTTATTTGCTGACGTCACTATATGTAGTATAAATTCGGAGAAATACTTTCATTTGTTTTTACTGTTTTCTTGACACGGTTTGATTTTTTTTTATTTGCTTTGGAAATATTTTCACTGAAATAATTTACCAAAAAAAAAAAAAAAGAAAGAAAAGGCCGTATGTTTGTGCTGTCCCAAAATGCAAAGGAAATTATCAAAAGATAAGAATTTATCAGTTGCATAGCTACGTGCAATAAAAAGGGAAACATTTAAACAACACACAAATAGTAAAGTGAGTAATTTATTTTATACTAGCAGCCATACCCAGCTGGTCAATCAGAAAAGCGTTCAATTAGAATGGAGCAAAAACAGCATCATGTTTAAATGTAACAGAGTCTATCTTCTTTAATTACTTTAAAGTACTTTCATTAAAAAAAAAAACTTTTGAATTAATGAAGTTACTGATATAACGGAATTAGCAATTATTTATTCAATCGAACTTAGCCAAGGACATGAAGGTGTAAAACAGGCAACATGAAGACCCACTTCAGACCACAAATACTTTGGAGCTTTTGAAATTCAATTTGTCATTGTGCTACCAGGGATTTAAAAGAGGATACATTTATAAAGCAAATGAAAATTGGTTGAAAGATCAACGAAAAATAAGAAAGAAACCAGTAAAAATTGTTATTTTTCGCTATTTACGCGAATTTTTACTATATGGATGGACTCAGTATCTGTCTATATTTCTGAGGCAAAGATGAGGACAATAGTCCGAATAATGTAAATAGTGTACATAATACCTCATTCAGAAATATAGACAGATACTGAAGTGGCGAAACGTTGTAATAAATATGGCGACAAAGATCAGGACAATAGTCCGAATAATGTAAATAGTGTACATAATACCTTATCTCAGAAACATAGACAGATACTAATTTTACACAATCAAAATAAGGCGAAGGAATTTTACAGTCTTTAAATTTAATAATGAAACGTACCCAATTTACTTTAACATAGCAACAAATGCAAAACTTTAAATAATTTTTCTTTAGAAAATAAAGTTTATTGTAAATTAAAAATCAAAGCTTTTTTTTTTCTTTTCTAATGTAAATAATATTCTATGTCAGTAGATTTTATGGAATAATCATTCAAATAAAACCTGATTTTTAGTTTATTGTTTTTTCTTTAAAGATGTATTTGTTTTGCTTTTTTTGTCCACTATGAAACATTATTGTCAATTTCAATTGTAAGTATCATAATTTGACAGAATAAAACGTTTTTATAATAATATTGTTTTCTTTTTTAGTCTTTATTTTTATAAATTAATATAGAATAAATAAACAAATAAATAACCAAATTATTGATTTGAAGAATTTAAAAACTGAAACATACACTAGTTTAACTTAAAACTTTAAATAATTTTCCTTTAAAAAATAAAGTTTATTCTAAGGTAAAAATCAAAGCTTGTTTTTGTTTTTGTTTTTTTTTTCTAATGTAATTGAAATATAAAATAATATTCTATGTCAGTAGACTTTATGGAATTCAAATAAAAACGGAATTTTAATCTATTTATTGTTTGTTCTTTATTTATTTATTTAAAGATGAGTGGCTGGTTAATACATCGCAGTCATTATTTGTTTGAAACACGAGACAATCAGTTGATTTGATTTTGTTCGGGTATATTCTCTACGCAAACGAAATAGCAGTTAACCAAGATATTGACATCGATTAAAAAATACGACGGAGCCAATATTTTTATAACTAGTTGGACTGTACAGTTAAAAACAATGAGAACAATTTCAGTCATTTTTATTGGTTATACATTCTGGAGGAGTAATCTAGGATTTTTCATTCAGAATCAACTCTATTATTGTTTGCAAGAAAAATAGGGTAAATCTCACACCAATTGTAATTAAAAGTTCCTGAAAATTTCCATTTTGGTGTAAATTTACATACATATTTCGAAATTTACAGTAAAAGTTTGCGGAAATCTACCGTTTTGGAGTTATCGACAATAAATGTTCGGATTCATTCGCGTCGCGGCTACAGCACGGCAGCCATTACTGGCTTTGTTTACATACGTTTGCCTCGAAAAGTCATCCCCCGAAGATTTACTTGTCTTGATTATTGCGCACGCAACGCACACACTTTGCGCGAAATTTAAATAGAGTATGGTTATTTGCAAAATAAAAAAAAGAAATGCTAAAAATGAATTAATGAGAACAATTTTAAGGTTGAACATTTTTTTTTTAAATTTGGGGTTTTAAAAAGCATGATTATTTACAAAAAATCTAGAAAGGGCTTTAGCATAGCATAAACAGTTTTAAGCCATATTATTTAAGCATAACTATTTACAAGAAAATCTAGAAAGGACTTAATCATGACATAAACAATTTTAAGCAATTTATTTAAGTTAAGCATGATTATTTACAAAATAGCAATAACAATTACGGAAAAGCTACTTTTAAAATTTGTCTTATTTGTTTTTATTATTTAAACAAAAATTATTACAGCTTTACTATAAAAAACAACACTTGTCATTGCTTTTCTAAATAAAAAATCAAAAAAAAAAAAAAATGAAAAGCTTCACTTTCAAAAGTGTTTAAAGACTTCTTTTCACAATAACTGAGATATTTAAGCAACGCGAGTAATGGCGGCCGGACCAGACAGGAATGAGTCCGAACTTTTATTGTTGATAACTCCAAAACGGTAGATTACCGCAAACTCTTACTGTCATTTTCGAAATATGCATGTAAATTTACACCAAAATGGAATGTGCATTTCCTTAAACTGCAAATTACCTGAAAAATCTATTTTCAAAACTATTAAATGTAATCTCGATCTTTGCTATTTACTCATGCGATGTTTGTTTATTAGCGTTGTGTAATGCTTTTTGTTGCCATAACATCTGAATATTTCATTACTAAAAAGGGAGTGGATCAGGTTGCGTGACCGATAAACATATAAAGCCATCTTGAATTTTAGATTATAGATGAATGTTGGCAGATTTCAAGTTACGAACGCGTATTGGGTGGCAATTGGGTTCGTGAGAGAACAGCTGTAGAAATAAATTTATCCTCAGCAAACATGGTGGTAATTGATTAAACTCTTTTCGTTAGCATCAGGGCGCGATACGAAATAA